AATTATAATAGAAGTGACTTATGGGACAGGGTGTACTGTAATAACCATAACTTTTCTGAATCTGGTGTAACCTGATTTGCTTTAGAGAAGGGGAACAGTCCATTTCTGTACACTGACACTATTCAGTGAGGGTACAATGACCTGTAACGTGAGAACCGTGCTTCACACGGAGACGGTCCTCCAAAACCTCACGAGCCAAGAAGAGGCTCAAACAATGAAGAGACTGAGAGAGAACAGCAAGGCAAAACCTATGAGAAATGTTTCTATTTGGGGAGGAAGTTGACCTAATCACCTACATTAGTTAACACACGCTGTGACAGAAAATCTGAATGAATCCTTGAATTGAATGAATGTGTTTTCACTTAGTTAAGCTTTTCATGATCCTTGTAGGTTTAATGACTATGAACATTATACCTTGGGATGTACGCAAATACCGTATATAATAACCTTAATGCACAAGATGCATATGTTTGATGTAAACCATGGTACTAGTCGATAGCCACATTCATGAACCATGATATAAATCAAAGTACCACCATGGCTCCTTCATATAATAGACTAAATAAAGGCGACCCCTCCATCATAAATAACACTCACTATTGTAAACAGAGTCAGCACCATCATGTGGGCACAACTGAAATTGCATGCTGATGTTGTGCCAGCCATGTGCATAAAACAAACTTTTTAAGTTTGGGGTAAATAATATTGAAGATGTTTTTTTTATTCTTGCTGATTTTTTTAATATTTCATTTTAACTTAAAGTTTTCTGTTTACTATAAAATTATGTATATTTCTTTACATTAATGCAAACTGAGTGCACATTGGCGGTGACCCTGTACAAGATAGCCATATTATGAAAATCTTCAGAAATGCAGCAAATCTTGCTGTCAATAAACATTTTACCTGTTATAATCCGTTCTACAGAAAATCTCTTTATTTCTGAAGAAGCAGCTGTTATGTTGACTCAAAGACACGTCGCACACCGAGCACTGCAAACATTTCAGATGCCACGTTCATCCATTCACCTGCGTGAAGAAATAACGTATTTTTATAACGTCTTATCTGGTATTATCACTGTTCTTTATGTTTCTTTTTCCGTCATTGTGAGGTAGCTACATAGCCTAAGCTATGGTGACAGAGAAGTGCAGAACAAATCACAATTCTGAAAACAAAATAACAAATTACAAACGCAAATGCAAGTCTAAAGAACAAAATAACAATTCAGAAAGCACAACAACAATTCAGAAAACATTATAACAAGTCAGAAAACACAACGACAAATCCAAAAACAAAATAACAAGTCAGAAAACACAATGACAAATCCGAAAACAAATTAACAAGTCAGAAAACACAAGGACAAATCAGACAAACCGGAAGAGGTAGGTATAGTTTGAGACAGTGCCATTGGTTTGGGATTACTCACCGCTGACTGGACGAGACATCTGTCAATCAACGTATACAGGAAGAACCAGTCGAAGAACAGCAGAGTGGTGGTAGAAAGTTCGGAGATGGTACTAAAGTAGCTCAGTTTAAATGTATTGTATGAATTGCCCTCACTGTGGAATAAAAAATACAGAGTTTATATTTAGATTTAGTTAAAAGTGGCTGTGGAACATCAGCTCCATTGGCGCAGATGGCTAAGCATGTGTCACTGACTTCTTGATGTGATTGACCTGGGTTCGATCCCACCTTTTGCCAAACTTTTTTTCCTCCCTTTTCAAATCTCGTAT